TAGAATCAAATAAATCAATAAATTTGAAATAGTATTTTCATATGATTTAATATATGTTTATTTAAGATAAAATGATAAAATAATAAATGTATTAATTTTATTATATGTTAATAATCAATATATTTTATTGTCTTCTGATTTATATGCTTTATTTATTCTTTGTTTTATTTTCATTCTTTTCTTAATTTCTTTTCTTGATTTTATTTCTTCTGGTGTTAATTTTAGTTGATTTCATTGTTTAACTTCTTCTCTTTGAAGTAATTATTTAAATGATTTATTAGATGTTGATAACTTTAATATACAATATTTATTTATTAGATTTTATTCATTTTCTAATATAATACTTATTAGTGTATTTAAATATTCTTTTGTTAATAGTAAACTATCAAATCTTCAAATTATATTTCTTGATTTACCATTTGTAAATTGTTCATGTGGACATTTCAATCAAATGAAGTTATTTCTATTTTCATGAATAATATTAAATAGATATTCTTTATTTATTGTTTTAAATGGTATATTTTCATTATTAACCACTTCTTGTGGAATATTAATAAGAGTACTAATAATTTCATTTCTACTAATTAATTATATTTTCTTATTATTATCAATATTTATTCTAAATGAAATGAAATAAATAAAATTAGTTATTTTGATTTTTGTTTAATTAATTTATTTATTATTAGTAAAAATTAAATGAGATTCTCTTCTTGAATTAATATGATTTTGTATTTGAGAATACAATTTATAAATATTTCTTGTTTTTGTATTTATTTTATTTATTTCTGTTTCAATATTGACTTTTTCTTATTAATTATTTCAATTTGTTGTTTGTGATTGATTATTTATTATATATTTAATTAAATATGTTTCTATTTAATATTTTATTCATTTAATATTATCTTTATTTTCTTTTTCTATTATTTCATTTCATTCTTTATATTCTTTTCATTTATCTATTCTATTTATTTCAAATATTTCATTATATTCATTACATTGTTTTGATAATGAAAATATAATAAATAGAAGTAATAAATTGATTATTTTAATGATTATATCTTTTTATTTTATGTTTATTTTTCTTTTATTTTTTCTTTTTTATTCTTAATTTATGATTTATTTATTTTATTATTTTTTTCTTTCTTATATTTATTTATTTATTTCTTATTTATTGTTATTTTATTTATTCTTTTTTATTTACTTTTTATTTATTTATCTTTAAAATTTATATGAATAATCTATACTACTTATCTACATTTTATTTTGATTCTTTTTTTATTCTTAATTTATAGTATTATTCTTTATGTTTATTCTTATATGTTATAATTTGATTAATTTATTACTCTTTATTTTATTTATTTCATGTTTTAATCAAATAATTATTGAATTAATTATTTATTAAATAATTGTTTATGATGTTCTTCTTTCTTTTTTATTTATTTTATTTATTCTTATTTTTATTCTTCATTTCTTGTTATTATGTAATTATATGAGAAACAAGATTCATTCAATATAAATGAATTGGTCTTTACAATATATTATTTTTGTATATTCTTAATATATTCATTATTTTCTTCATTTTAATTATTTTTATTGTTTATTGTATAAATTGTTATTAAACATTACAAATTTTGTTTTAAACATCTTTCTTAACATGTTTCTGTATCATCTAAATATCCCCATTTGTTTTATTTCTTTCTCTTTTTATTGAATATGATGTTCTTAATGAATAATTTCTTTTAATCGTTGTCTGTGAAGAATTAAATTTTCTTTTCTCTTATCTTCAGTAGCATGTTCTTCTCCTTCCTTAACTAGTCGATTAATTTCATCTTCATTCAAACCACCATTCGATTTAACTTGATTTCCTGTTTTCTTTCCTGTTCCTTTATCAAGAGCAGAAACTTTTACTATTCCATTAACATCAATATCAAATGTAACTTGGATTTTTGGTATACCTTTCTTTGCTGGAGGAATTCCAACCAATTTAAATTCTCCTAATTTTTTATTTTTTGATGTAACTCTACGTTCTCCTTGAAATACTTTAATATCTACTTCTTGTTGATTATCCATTGATGTAGTGAAATCTTTTGAAACTGATGTAGGGATTGTTGTATTCCTATGGATTAATGGTGTCATCACTCCACCATAACTTTCAATTCCTAAAGTTAATGGTGTAACATCAACAAGAATAATGTCATTTTTCTTTCCTTCAATAATACTTGCTTGAATTGCTGCTCCAATGGCAACAGCTTCATCAGGATTGATATTTTTACATGGTTTTTTTCCAAAAATTTCTTGAACAGTATTTTGAATTAAAGGCATCCTTGTCATTCCTCCAACAAGTACAACATCACTAATATCTTTTTTTCTTAATTTTGCATCTTTCATACATTGAATACAAGGATATTCTGTTCTTTTACAAATTTTTTTACATAATTCTTCAATTTTTCTTCTATTAATTGTAATTTCAAGTGAATCTTGTCCATCAAGATATGGTAATGAAATTATACTTTCTTCACTTGATGTTAATTCACATTTTACTTTCTCTGCTACTTCTTTAATTCTACTAATTCCTTTTTTATTTCCTTGAAGATTTCGTTTATATTTTCTTTCAAATTCTTTCTCAATGTATTGACAAATAGCTTTATCAAAATCTTCTCCTCCAAGCATTGTATCTCCATTAGTTCCTTTAACTTGGAAAATCCCTTTATTAATATTAAGAATAGAAATATCAAATGCTCCTCCTCCAAGATCATAAACTGCATTATTCTTTCCTTCATTTTCTTGTATCTATTCCATATGCTAATGCTGCTGCTGTTGGTTCATTAATAATTCTTTTAACTTTTAATCCTGCAAGTGTTCCTGCATCTTTAGTAGCTTGTCTTTGTGCATCATTAAAATATGCTGGACATGTGATAACTGCTTCATCTACTCTTTTCCCTAGTTTAGCTTCTGCATCTTTTTTTAATTTCTTAAGAATCATTGATGAAATTTCTGTTGGAGAATATGTCTTCCCATTAATGTGAATCCATCCTTCTCCATTCCTTCCTTTAACAATTTTATAAGGTCTTCTTTCTTGTTTATCATTTTTGTATTGACATCCTATCATTCTCTTAATTCCACTGATAGTAGTTGTTGGATGTAATGCTTCCATTCGTTTTGCTGCTTCTCCAACTAATATTCCTGTTGGTGTAAAAGAAACACAAGATGGTGTTGTTCGTTTTCCTTCTGCATTCTCAAGAATTCGAGGTGTTGTTTTATCAAAAACACACATACATGAATTTGTTGTTCCTAAGTCAATTCCAATGCAAGTTGACCTTGTAGGTTGTGAGATGAACATGATAATAATTTAGTTCTTGT